CTTCCTTTTTCGGCTTGCAAACATCTGGCCATGCTAGTTTAGCTTTTTTCGAATTGAGTTCAGGCCCTGACCAAAGTAAAGCAGAGCATAACTTATCAATCTCCTTTATGCAGGTTTTTGGCAGTCGATATGCAGCCATCCAAAAGTTTATTAAACTCTCAAATAATCAAATAATATTATTATACTAAAATATTATTAAACTAAAGATAAGTAGAGATCATTACACTCAAAGGCACTTTAGCAAAGTCCAATTACAAACAAATGTACATTTTGCTACTCACATATTTTAGTTATATGTAAAGTCACTTATACCTTTTTGCCTTACAAAATTCATTTTCTCTTTGTATCTCTCTTTCCAGAAAATTGCAATGTAGAGATCGAGAGTTTGGAGCTTCTAAAGATGGTGAATAAACATTTTTTCAGCCTCTTCTTCCTTGCTTTCACAGCCACTTATTACTTTTTCACTTTGTGTTTTTTTTTCCATGGTTTTGAAAGTTTCCACTTTTCACATTCATCTTTCTTCTTTTTTATTCTCTGTATTTCTCTTTTGTTTTAATCTTTTTCCCTATTTAAATCTGGAAATCTCCTCCTTCTATTTTGTTCTCAGATTAAAAACAACAATTAAGATTGTACAAGCTTGATGTTTCTAATTTATATAAGTTAAGAATCTTCTATCTGAACTGGGTTTAAAAATTTCAACAGTTCAAAATCATTGCTTTTTGGTAGATGATTTCAGATTTATTTTACTAATTTTTGTGGAATCGATGTAGTAAAAGGTAAAATTTAGTTTCTCTTTGTTATGCCATTCTTTTTTAGCATTAGATTTTTCATCATAATGTTGAGATTTCTTGTTATAGGATTTTTGATGATTTTTCTAGATCTCAAATTATTACAGCACCATAGAAAATTACTGAATTGTGAGGTTAATTTTTGGTGGACAATAATTATGGTCAAGTTTTAGTGGACAAGACGGTATAGTCAGTTTTTGTGGACTTGTGGATATGTTCTGATGGATAACCTTTCATAGATATGTTCCCAATTTTAAAAGCACCCAAATAAGAAGAATCGTCCTTCCTTAAACCACTTCAGTGGCCACCGTAGATGTCAAGGTAAGGACCATATCCAACGAAACTATGGACAGTAATGAGTTAATTTAGTAGATTATGTCCACGAGAGTGTTCTTTGATGTGTTCATGTTGTTATGTCCATTAGATTGTTCCATGGATTGTGTCCTCGTGATTGTATTAAGTGGTTTTCATGGACATATTGTGATGGACAAACACTCACGAACGGGGTTTCATGGACATATTATGGTGGACAAACACTTATGGACGGATTCTCATGGACACAATACCATGGACACGGCAGTTGTACATGTTGATTGTGTCCAAGTGATTGTGTCTATTATATTATCCATAAAAGATATCCAGTGTTTTGAGAGCTCAAATATTTTCCCTAATCTGTGATATGAATTTATGGATATAAAGTTCACAATAACTCTGCAAAAGCTGTCCATTTACAAATTGGACATGCAGTTATGGACAGTAAGTCGTAGATATAAATTCACAGATATAAAGTCATGAATAAGAGGTTGCAGACATGATCGATTGGAAAAAATAATATGTATTATATAGGTAGCTCTCTTCATGATCTTGGTCTTTTCTATATACGTCATAGCTCTTTTCATAATGTATACACTACTAATTAATGAGCTAAAATGGATAACACTATTGATGAGTTCAAATGGTTATCCCCAATCTCCATGGCTACAAAACCAGTGGTATGAATAAACATGTTTGTTCACAGTCGAATGGATGAACTCCAATTGATAACACTTTTAAATGTGTATACATATACGAGATTGTCGTAGATAACCTGTAATGGATACTTTGTTATGTACAAGATCATATGGACAGTTTATAATATAAATTATGGACACAAAGGCATGAACAGCAACGAACGAAGACGTTACATTGCTAATTATGGACATGAAGGCATACATAGCAACCAGGGGCGGATCTAGCACCATGGGTGTGGGTGCAAGTGCACCCATTAAAATATAAAATTCTATGTTTTTACATAAGATTATTAAGCGGCAATGGCACATTTTTTTTAAAGTGCACCCACAATTTTGAACTGACCATGGTTCGATGCCCCCACTACCCTTCTTATTTTTCATTATTTATTTTTATTTTTGTTGTTTTATAAAATATTTGCACCCATTAGAAAAAAATAACGAGCAAATATAATATATTCTCATAATTTTGTATCCATGTTTTTGTATCCATGCTTTTGTATCCATACATTCATGTCCACGAGTTGTGTGTACGTATTTGTGTCATCGTTTCTGTCCATACCTCTATGTCCAGGACATTCTACCTACTGTTTCTGTCCACGCCTCTATATTCTATGAAAATTGCAAAAAGTTTGACTTTCTCTACCTAAAAATCGAAATTTTATCTTCAATTACATGACCATGAATAACTGTCCACTTTATATAATCCATTGATCTGTATCCATGAAAGTTTCATCTTCCTTTAAATCGAAAAACAACTTCTCAGAGAAGGCGAAGGAGGGAAAAAGGAGCCATTGACGATATATATATTGAAATATGGCAAACTTTGACGACTTAATTGGAGAAGAGCTTACAATTAATCATCATAATTTTCGAATCCAATTGAGTTTCGACAGAATTTTACTTTATTGAACCATTGATGTTCTAGGATAGTAAAAGAACGGTGAATTGAATATTCAGAAGAAAAATAAAAAAAAATTGATGCTGAAAGAAGAAGAATAAGAATGAATCAAAGGAAAAGGAAAAGGAAGAAGAAGGCGAAAAAGAAAGAAAGTACAATGAAGAACAAGCAAGAACAAGGAAAATAAAGGAAGATCAGGAAAGATCAAGGAAGAACAAGGATAGAAAAAAAAAATAAGTAAGAGGCGGAGGTTACCACATTTTCCTTATCAACATCTAAGCAAAATATTAAGGGTTTTGATTGAAAAAAATAATTAAGGACAAAATTAGAATTTTACAACCTACAAAACTTTCAAAAACCCTCAGTAGCAATAAGTATCTTTAGCTTTAAACAAAAATTCATAAGTATCTATGAGTGTAAATCACTCAGATAAGAAGCCCATTTTTTTGGGCGGCTAAACCTAATTCGCTTTCTCTCTCGTTTTTCACCAAAGTAACCGTCTTCTGCATTTCTTCTCCGGTGGCCGGCGTTCGGCTGCTTCTTCAGAGCCGGCGCTGGCCTCTTTCGTTTGTTTTCCTTTGCTTTTCTCTTAGTGTTCTTTTTGGATTCTGATTTCGTGGTTTTTGGGCAGATTTGTTATGGTTGAGATGAGCGTGTCGTGTAGGCTTTTTAGCGGCAACCAGGGTTAGATCTAGGTTGGTGTGAGGTTGGGGGTGCCGGATCTATTGATTTACGGTTGGATTCCTTCCTTTTCACCCTCTTCTTTGCAGTTGTTCTTTAGAAATTCTCTTTTGGTTGTCGCCAGTTCGGATCTGCGGCTTTTGTGGACTTCTGTCTGCGATCGCTTTCTCTTCACGACTCGTTTCTTTCTCTTCTCGGGTCAGATCTGTCTCATTCCTGTTTGTGACTCTTGTCCGTTCTAAACAGAGGTTCTTTCAGTGTCGGGAGTTGGTTATTTGGTCTTGTTCTTGCAGGCTCGATTTTTCTTTATTGGCGGTCGGTGGCTCGCTAATCCATCACTTTGTGCTCTTCGCTGTTCTTGCTGCCGTGGTCTGTTTACTGCAGGATGGCTTAGGCTTCGCTCTTGGTCCTTTGTCCATTGCTTGAGGAGCTCTGGTCTTTCTTTCAGGTTTCTGTCTAGACATCTCCTGTTCCTTGGACATTTCTGTCCTCTGACTTTGCCGTTCTCCGGGAGTTTTCAAGTTGCCGCTCTTCCTTGCAACTCTTGCCTGCCGGTTCATGAAGCTTAGTTCTGTTTCTGTTACTGACGTAGGAGGAAGTTTGGTTTCGCTGGTTGGCCTTTGTGCATCTTCGATACTATGGAGCTTGGGGTCCAAAAAGTCTTTTTATCTTGCAAGTTTAAGGTTGTATTTGTTCTTCGGATTATCTGTTGGTTATTTTCATATTTTAGTTTGGGATTCATAGAGTTTTAGCTTTGAATTTTGCTTTAGAATTTCTAAAATGTATCTTTTTAGATGTGTATTTCAGATTCTAATAAAATCTTCAGACGACGAAAAAAAAAGAAGCCCATTTTTTAAAACTCACCTTGGTCTTAGTCATTTTTTTAACCGAGCAGTTGGGGATGCTGACAGCTGTTACTCGGAAGATGCACAATTCGGCGTCGTTTCATTTGAATTATCTGGTTGGTCATTCGTACCTATTAATTACGCGGTTACTTGCTGAATTAAGCCGGTTCTACGAACCCTCCGGTTATTTAAATTAAGCCGGTACTGCCAGATAAAATCTATTTACAAATCAAATCAAATCTACGTAAAATTACCTGGCTGTCATTAATGAAGAGAGGTGCCTAAATCAAATCTTGGGGAATTTCTCAAGTAAATCTTTCCTTTTTCTAACAGTCCTCAACGGATCAATTATGGTAAAATTAAGGAAATTAAAACTAAGCAAAAAAATGGAAATCGAACCTTGAAACACACACAAACGCATTTTTTTGACCGTTGGCGTCTAAAAAAAATAGACAAATCTATAAGTAGACCTAGGTCTGCCTAGGTCACACAGTCTCTCTCTCAAATTTCATTATTCTTCTTCTTTGTGCGCGAGAACGAGAAAATCGAAAACCCAGAGCGTGTTTGGGAAATCAACAACAACAAAATCAACAATGCGGTCACCGCCTTCTTCCGCGTGTTCCAATTCGTCTTCTTCTTGTTGTTCTAGTTCCCTCGCTGCAACGAGTTTGGCCAACAGGCTCCGGACCGTGTTCAAGAAAGCTTCCGAGCTTACGACTCTCTGCGATATCGAAGCCTGCGTCATCCATTACGGACCAGACGGAGAATTACAGACATGGCCTAAGGATCGACAGAAAGTGAGAGACTTGGCTCTTCGGTATAGTCGTCTCGACGACGCCAAGAGGCGCAAGAAAAGCGTCAATCTTTCTGGGTTCCTCAACAAGAACAAGAACAAGACCAAGGCGACGAATCTGACGAAGAAGCCGAGGACGACGAACTCGAATCAACTAAAGTATCCACTCTCTGATCACCACTCTCCCGACCAAATCTCCCAACTGATGGAGTCCTTGCTACGAAAGCGCTCCATCTTGCAAGAAAGGCGTCGTTTTCTCGAGGCACGGAAACAGACAAAGGCAAAGTTGGAAGATCATAAGGGTTTAGCACCATCCTCTCTCAACCATCAACAGACCCAATCCTTGAACCCTTCCTCTCTGAACCTTCATCAGACCCAATCCTTGAACCCTAGCAAGTTCTCGCTAGTTATGTATAACCACGAAGATGCTACTCTCTCTCAAATCCCACTCTCTGCATCAAATTTCACCAATTTCACAGATGATTACTTGATGCATCAAGAGGTTAATGGTTGTGGTCAGAATATATCTATGGGTTACATCAACAGCAACAACTTTCAACTTCCTTGCGACTCAAACACACAAGAATCTGTGAATAACTACGGCTTGAATCAGTTGACGCCTCAAGAGCTTTGTGGTTATGATCAGAACATCTGTATTGGTGATACTACCAACAGCAACAACTTTCAAGGTCCTTGCGTCTCAAACACACAAGCGGTACCAGTACAGGAGTCTGTGAATAACTACGGGATGAATGAGTTGATGCCTCAAGAGCTTTATGGTTATGATCAGAGCATGTGCATGAGTGATACTACCAACAGCCTCAACTTTCAACATCCTTGCTTCTCAAACACGCAAGAGTTGCATGAATCTGTTACTGACTTCGGGTTGAATCACTTGACGTAGCAAGAGCCGTATGGATTTGATCAGAGCATGTGTACGAGTGATACTATCAACAGCAACGTTCTCGATCCTTGTCTCTCAAACACAGTTTCAGATAACCTCTGTTCTGACTTTCAGGATCCTTATGGTATTATGTTCGGCAACAGTAGCTTCTCTCAAGACCTCTCAGATATGTTTTCAAGCTATGATCTTCAGTTTGATGAGAGCAGTCTACTTCAGACATCTACTCTACCATCTCTCCACACCATCCCTATCAGCTAGATTTCTCTGAGTACTAACAAGAGTTAGAAGCAATTACCTGATGAAGTAGCGGACCACAGTTATTATAGCTGTTTATGCGTCTGGAGTCCTGCTATGTTTTGTATTTTGACTATATGAATTTAACTGCAAAACAGATGCATTTGTAAAGATTTTGTTTCCAGTTTTCAATATATTAACTTTTGTTTCCGAACATTATTCATAGATGTATGGACAGCCATATCCCATATATGTATATATTTCTATAACGAAACCTCATAAAACTTCAATGAAACAAATTATCTAAAAACATTGAAAACAGTTTCAGATTCTTTTATGTGTTCACTGACAGCTCTCAATACACTGACTTAAGCAAGCTATTTGAAATTCATCTTACGAAATGATCTAGAGGTTATTGAAGGCATATAAGATTTGCCAATACTACAAATTGGTGACGGCCACAAACAAAATCCTCCTAAAAGAATTGAATACAAAGGGAAAAGAAGACCAACCAAATGACTTCAGCAACTCTGAAGTTTGTTTACGGTAATAAGTTTCCTCGTCTCCAAGGCACTTTAACAAGCAGTCCGCAATTTCTTTCCTGAAATAAAGTGCAGAAAATGAGTTTAGACTTCTGAGGGCATGAGAATGCAAATTATAAGTCAAGGAACTAAAGAAGATGCAGAAAAGATAGAAAGGGAAAACCAAATGAAACAGAAACTATGGATCAAGCTTGGAGGTCAGTAAAGCTAATGAAAGCAGAATAAGGACGAGAGAGAGAGAGAGCGAACCAGAAAGCTCATGGATTGAAGAAGTCATGACTCATGAGCTTAATGTCCGAGAGCACAACTCTGAAAGTTCTAAAGAACAAAAAACACAGCAGCAGAACAGTCAGTACATGGTTCCTGGAAAGCTACTAAATTTAAAAATTCTGAATTATCAAAATCCCAAAATCATTAACCTCAGAACTTTCCAGAACCAATTCAGAATACAATCACAAATTCATAACTAAAACCCATAAGAAGAAAAAATGGAAATTAATAAAAGATGCTAAACCATAAACAGTATACTAAATTGTAAACAGCAAAAACAAATTTACAGGAAACCAGTCAAAAGCTATCATTTCAAAGACATGTTGCCAATTTTACCTCTGCAATTGTCTATGCCTCTTCTTCAAAGTCTCCGAGGAGAAATAATAAAATCTGTTGACATAAGGATTACTTCCATAGAATTCCAGCAACAAGGCGTTTCTGGTGAATGTTTCTTTAACTCTGACTGGTAACTAGAAAGCTACATTTATGATTTAGGCATTTAGCATCAACAGGAAAGCAAGAATATACATACTTGGAACAAAGATGTATCACAATGTCTGCCAGGAGGACACTAACAGCTTTGGCCGCGCCATTCCTCTCATGGTATGTCAGAAGGGATATCAGAAGGTATATTTAAAGCAGAGACAGCTTCTCTGATACCATCGTTGCTTCAAAGGCAAAAGAAGATGTAAGTACTGCAGCAATGCAGAACCAAACTTATGAGTTTCATAATGAGTAGGAGTCAGAAAAGCCTATACAACTGCAAGAGATATATTCCTGTAAAAAATGGGTAAAGATACCTTATGTACAAGACAAGGCACAAGCTCCGTTCCACACTCTCAAATTTCTGATGGTTTGCAGGAAGACGAGAGATATAAGACGCATAGAGACCAATCGCCAAAGCAGCACAATCAAACAACATGTGGCAAGCGTCTGAGATCAATCCAAGACTATTGCTCATGAAACCAGCCACAAACTCTACAACCATATACGCCGTATTGATCAGAAGAAATCTTCCTTGACTTCTTCTCGCTCAAAATGTGACGTGTAGGCTTCATAAAAATGGTGGTAAACGACTCGAAACGTAACCAGAAACTCCCTCTCAGAGTCTTTCTTCGAGCTCGAAAACTTATCTTCGTTGTAATTCTCCGTCAACAGCACTCCGAATACAACAGTGTTAGCTAACGGCCAACCCAAATTCCCAATAGAGACACCAACTTCATCACTTTCAGAGAATAGAAATGGAAAGCAATCGAACTTGTTTCTGATTTAAGCAACCCAAAAACCCAGATAGGAATGGAAGCAACATAGGCCAAATTCTCAAGCAATTTTCGACAGATGATGAAGAGAAAGGGAAACAATCGACACGATCCCAGCTGATTGATAACATCAACAACCCAGCGAACAAGATGCGAAACCATAGATGATCCAATTCCGCCATTATCGCCGGAAAATCGATTCCGAGACTCGGATAGAACTCTAGCAGAGACTGTACCGGAGAGCTCGGCTAAGATTGATCATAGCTGCTGCGCCGCAGTAATGGAGAGCCTGAAAACGCCTAGAAAATCTCTCCAATGTTAAAATCCATTGGCTTTATGAGAATGAGAATGATATTCCCAAAATACTGTATGGTGAAAACCCATAAGGCTAAAAGATCCAAGTAAGAGGTTTGGGCCCAATTTAAGGTTTTGAAATTAAAGAACAAAAATCTGACTCGACATAATCGTATCAAGTCACACACTTGGGTTTTGTTTTTTCCTGATCCTAGAGGCCTCAGTGAATCTTCGACACTGGGATCAACAAGCATCATTGGATATTTTCCTCACTGTTTGTATATGCGTGCATAATAATAGAGAAGATGACAAAAAGGATTTACGAGTTCAAATCGCAAACTGCAAAATTGATGGTTGCTAACATTAATATCTTCTGGAGCTTAAGCTTGACGAACAGTAACCTTATCCCTAAACCTCTGAAGTCTTGTATCAAGTCGTCGGGTATACAAATTGCTTTTCTTCTCTGAAAATAGTAAAATTTCTACTTCTCTCTGCGTTTCGCATGGCTTCTTCGTCTTCTCCATCTCCTCCATTGGTCAACTGTGGACACCAGGTTTTCCTCAGCTTCAGAGGGGAAGATGTCCGCATCAAATTCCGTTCCCACTTTCTCAAGGAGCTCGACCGCAAATTGATCACCTTCAAAGACGATGAGATGGGAAGAGGCCGATCTATTGGCCCCGAGCTTTTCAAAGCCGTACGAGGATCGAGGATCTCGATTGTGGTGTTTTCTCACAACTTTGCAAGTTCGAGCTGGTGCTTGGATGAATTGGTGGAAATCATGAAGTGCAGAGAAGAACGAGGCCAAATCGTCATACCTATCTTCTACGAAGTGGATCCTTCTCATGTCAGGAATCAGATCCACGGCTTCGGAGAGATGTTCGAAAAGATTTGTGAAGGCAGATCAGAGGAAAAGAGACTTCAGTGGCGGCGAGCGTTGACGGACGCAGCAAACATAGCCGGCGAGGATTCTCGGAAATGGTACTTTCTTAATTTCGATTCTCCTGCTTTCTTGTCAAAATTAGGTTTTCCTTAGTATCTACTTCATGCTTGTGTTATTGTGTTGTATCATCATCTTTGTTAGGTCCGACGAAGCAAAGATGATTGAGAAAATCGTCAACGATATTTCAAATCAACTGAACTCTACAGCATCAAATGATTTTGCTAACTTTGTTGGAATTGAAGATCACATTAGAAAAATGAATCTGTTACTGGAATTGGAATCTGAAGAAGTGATAATGGTAGGCATTTGGGGTCCATCTGGAATTGGTAAGACTACCATTGGACGAGCTCTTTTTAGTCAACTCTCATGTCAGTTCCAAAGAAGCATTTTCATTGACAAGACTAAGGAAAACTATACAAAGGCCAACTCAGACGACTACAACACCAAGTTGCACTTGCAAACACAGTTTCTTACTGAGATTTTGGACCAGAAGGACATAAAGATTTATGGTTTAAGTGCAGTGAAAGAAAGGCTCGGGCATAAGAGAGTTCTTGTTGTTTTTGATGATGTGGTTGATCAAATCCTTTTAAATGCCTTGATGGGGGAAACTACGTGGTTTGGTCCTCGTAGCAGAATTGTTGTTATTTCAAAGGATAGGGAGCTTCTAAAGAGCTGGGGAATTGAATCTGATCGTATCTATGAGGTGGCTTTCCCGTCTGAAGAGCTAGCTTTGAAGATGTTCTGCCGATGTGCGTTCGGGGAAGACTCTCCACCTGATGGTTTTAAGGATCGTGCTATTGAAGCTACGAAGCACACCGAGAATCTCCCACTGTGTCTCAACGTTTTGGGTTCATTACTCGCAAAGACGAAGAAGGAGGAGTGGGAAAATATGGTGCCTAGACACAGGAATAGTATGGCTGGACAGATTAATAAAACATTAAGAGACTGCTATGATAGGTTGAACGAAGATCATAAAGCAATATTTCTTCACATCGCTTGTTTATTCAATCATAAACCACGTGACTACGTGATACGATTGCTTGAAGGTAGTAAGTTGGATGTTGATGTTGGACTTGTCACTCTGGCTGAACGGTGTCTCATTCAGATATCAGAGGATAAGATCATTAGGATGCACGATTTCCTGCAAAAAATGGGTACAGAAATCATCCGTCAACCATGTATTGAGATCCCTGGAGAACGTCAATTCTTAATGGATTCTAAAGAGATTTGTGATGTACTTTTTGATGGAACTGTAAGTTTCTAATTATTCATGGTTTCCCTCACTCAATACCTTTTTGAGCATCTATTTTGGTTACTAATATATTTGGTCTTTCTAATACTTTTTTTTTTCAGGGAACTAAACGTGTTTTGGGCATATCTTTGAACTTATCTGAAATCGAGGGTACATTATATATTAGTGAGGAAGCATTCAGCGGGATGAAAAACCTTCGGTTTCTAAGAATATACGGGGTCTTACCGGAGTATAAAAAGCTCATTCTGCATTTACAGGGAGGCAAAGGCCTTATGTGGCACCTATTTAGGTTAATGGAAAGGTGGGGATTCTTAATGAGAAGCATGCATTTGCAGGATAAAGACCATATGTGGCGCCAACTTAGATTACTGGAATGGTGGAGCTGCCCAATAAGATGCATGCCTTCTAACTTTCTTCCAGAAAATCTCGTTGAACTTAGAATGCCGGATAGTCACCTTGAGAAGTTGTGGGAAGGAGCTCAGGTAACTTTTTCAGGTTTGAATGCTTTAAAATATTGTAATTGATTGTTCTTGTTTTCTCACTATTGGTCTCACACAAGGCTTAATATTAATAGATAAACCCATAGAGCGATAAGGGCCAAATAGAAATCTGTATAAGCCAGAAGATCATGTTTACTTGCAAATTTCCTCTACGACTTATTTGAAAATTTTTAAGTTTCCCTTACCTTTTTTTGTGTGTTATGATCAGTTGCTTAATAGCCTGAAGAAGATGGATCTGAGGAGATCTAAAAAGCTGAAAGAAATCCCAAATCTTTCAGAGGCTACAAATCTCGAGGAATTGTATCTTGTAGATTGCTGGAGTTTGGTGATGATTCCTACCTCTATTCGGAATCTCAACAAACTGAGGAAACTAGACATGAAAAGATGCAAAAATCTACAGAGTATTCCAACAAACATCGACCTGGAGTCTCTCCATTCCCTCAATTTCAGTGGATGCTCGCAGTTGAGAACTTTTCCTGAGATTTCAAGGAATATTTTGTATCTCTTTCTAGATGAAACCGAGATTGAAGAAGTTCCTGGGATGATAGAAGAGATCCCTGGGCTCAGTTACATGTTGATGAATGGTTGCAGCAACTTAAAATATATATCTCCAAGCATTTCGAAACTGAAAAACATCTTGAGGTGATATTTTTTTCAAAACTCTGATTCTTTAACTGAAGAGAGGTTGTATGACTCTCCAAGTGCAGTAGCAACGACAACAGACAACATTCACACTCAATTACAAGGTGCTTCTTCCTATCGCAAATGGAAGTACCACGTCTTCGTTAGCTTCCACGGAGTAGATGTTCGCAGAGGTTTAATCGGCCACATGCTCAAAACATTTCGTAGCCAAGGAATCCTTCCATTTGACGACCAAAATATTCAGAGAGGCGCGAAACATATCCCATGAAATTGATCATGGTATAAGAGAATCAAGAATAGCTGTAGTCGTCCTTTCAAAGAATTACGCGTCCACAAGATGGTGCTTCGATGAGTTTGGTACAGATCATAAAGTGCAGCGAAGAGATTGGTCAAAAAGTGATACCCATTTTTTTATGGTGTGGATCCTTCTCATATCACGAAGCGAATCCAAGACATTAGAAACACCTTCGCGGATAGGTCGGACGAGCAACAACAACAAAATTGGATACGATTTTTAACTGTAGTAAATCAACTTCCGGTATATAATTCCCAAGACTGGTAAGTTATTTGAATTATTTATTACTTGCTTTGGCTTTAAGTTCTAAGGTATTATCTTCAAGGATGTTCATTTCTTCATAATATTTACTCCATTTTTATTGTGCCATCGTCTTTCTTCCTATCAGGGTTTCCGAGGCAGATATGATTCAAAAACTGGCTGTTGATATTTCTTTTACACTAAATATTACACCGAAAGAGTTTCCTGATGTGGTTGGAATAGAAACATTAAAACTGCACTACGATGGTCTAAATGGGAAGGAGAAAGCGTTGTTTCGTCATATTGCTTGCTTTCTGAATAATGAGACGTATGAGAATGTGATACGATTACTGGAAGACAGTGAGTTGGATGTTGGAGTTAGTCTTAAGATTCTATTTGACAAGTCTCTGATACAAATATCAGAAGAAAGACTCATAAGTTTGCACCATGTGCTGCAAAATTTTGGCAGAGACCTAGCTCTCGGTCCATTCATTAACCACCCTGCAAATCGTCAGTTCTTGATGGATACTAGCGAGAGTTGCGACGTACTTATTGATCTATCTGTAAGTTTTTGTTTACAGCATCATGATATATATATGTTTTTTAAGCTACTAATGATTTGTTCCTCTTAACATATCCTTTCAGGGTATTAGAAATGTGTTCGGCATCTCGTTTAAAGTACAAATGGAAGAGAGGTTGAGAAGGGATGAAAGATTCAAAGGAATTAAAAAGCTGAGGTTTATGAGAGTGTACAAGAAGAGTTTCTACGGTAAAGAAGTCAGATTCCATTTAGTCAAAGGGCTCCACTCTTTGTGGGACCGCCTGAATAATACTTGATGGGTAAGAATACTCACTCAGTAAGGTGCTCTTATCGGCTTATGTCTTACGCCATTTTGGCCGTGATGCAAATTTTCTGTGATTTGTTATTTATGTGTTAAAACTTTACTTGTCCAGTTTGATTTTAAATATTTTCTGCTACTACTGATCGATTCTTTTCATGTTGAATCACAGACGTTTTGCCGTTTTGCCAAGGAAAGGCAACGCTTATTTCAACTAGACTGAGGCAACGAACCATACAGTCATACAGATACTGAGATACCATTACAGAGAATTGGAACCATATTGAAATAACGAGATACGACTTTTCTGTTGAGTCTAGTACAAGCCGTGGAAAGAGTTGTTATAACTCATCCATGTCAAAGATCTTTCACTACTCAGAACTCCAAGCTTGAGGCTCAAATCTCCGTACAAATCCAACAAGAAGAAGGGAAAGCGACAGAGACGAGACATTGCATTCTTAAGGGATTCTTTTAGTCTATCTCACCATTTCTGCTATGTCATTCTTCCTCACCCCTAAAGCAACAGAGATGTTGCTTGTATGTTTTTGATATGGTACAACCGTACAAGTGCAAACTCCACTTGAGTGTCTCTTTGCACAAATTCTTTTAATCGCTCTCTTTCTGCAACTTGACTCTTCTCGATATGTACAGACGTTTTTTTTTTTAAAGTTTTTTCTCTGTTTATAAAAACTCAACACATGTGTTTAATATAACTTTTTGGTATATCTCAGATGATCAGGATCTCTCATATTACAACGACAGAAGAAAATGGTCCCATATCTAAGACCTTGAAGATCATTGTGCCCTGGTGTTCATCATGTTAAGCGCATCACCATAGCGTTATGAATGTTGGTCCAGAACGCAAATTTTTCTTCCTGAGCCATCCTTATCAGATCAACTTTCTCGAGCTTTCTCAGTACGTAGAAGTTGATGAAGGGTCTTGGAGTCATCAGATGAAGGAAAGGAAGAAGAAGCAAAGTGCATAAGAAAGTATTTGGCAAAAGACAAAGTGATACTATATTTCAAAAGCCTTAAGAGGTATATTACATCCAGATTCACTGCTATTCATTTGATATTAAACAATCACCAAAAGTCATTTCAATAATCCAACTGCAAAAGTCATTTAGTATACACTCCCTACCATTAGCTTTTCATATCGTACTGTTTAGTAAATAAATCGGTTACATATTGCACTGAGATCATAATTATTTGATTCAAAACAATATCCATCATTGATGCTTAAACAAGAAGCTAGCATATGATCATTATAAACCATATTTTTGATGGTTATGACTGTTGTATATTTAGGAGTGTTGTTAGGCAGAGGTTATATCAGTTTATTGAGTACGCTTAGTCTTATATAAATCGGTTCATAATAGTTTTTTTAAGTTTGAACTGCTTTAGTTTCTTGATGTCATACTTTAGACACTAAATTCTAATATTCAAAACAAAACAAAACAAAAAAAATTAGAACCCCACACCTCAATGTAATGTATCTATCTATAATAACAAACTGAAAAAATATCAAATAAACTTTGAAAAATTGTGTCTTTTCAAAATTTATGGTTGTGTCATTTCATTACAAATAGTTGCATCTTTTCACTATGAATGGTTGAATTTTTTCATCAACAATAATTTGTGTCTTTTCAAAACTATTTATACTGCTCAAAACCACAGAAAAAAATCATTTAAATTCTTTCTCTCTCTTCTTTCTCCTTCTCTCGTATCAAAGTCGACGAACATTTCTATGCGATTTATTATTCTTCGAATCCAGGTAGTTCCTTCCGACGGTTTTCATCCCGAGAGTTCTGGAGTTTTATCGCCGGTTCATGTCCGTTGAGATCAATCTCTAACGGTTTTTTTCCTATCAAACCCCTTGAATCCCGTAAACCGCCATGGAAACATTCATATATAAATCCCATCCTCAGTTACCAAAATTCGTCACAGTTCATCTCTGTTGTTTGCATGATGGGCGACAATTTACGAAAGAAAATGCAGGAAATCGATTTGGGCCATGACGACGCCCCGATTGCTCTGTCACAATCTATCTGTGACCAAGCGGCGCGAGCGAACAGATTTGCAATCATTAGGATTCTGGTCAATCCAAAGAAGCAAAATATGCGGGCAGTAATAAATCAACTTCCCCGTCTCTGGGGCATGTCTGACTCGGTGTATGGTTGCATTATTGATGCAAAAACGTTTCAATTTGTCTTTCAATCTGAGAAGGTTATCCATATGATTCTCAACCGTGGACCATAGTATTAGAGTGAGGAGATGAGAAGGCCACACATGAAGTGAAGGCCAAACATCTCCACATCAAATAAGAAGAAGAAGAGAAGTGTCAAAGCGTGACTTAGCCAAGAATGAAGCTCATCACATGTAAAAGACATCAAGAAGGTGATCAACCATGTGTATATGAAGCAATGGAGGCTTAGGAGTCATGAAGTGTGTTGTAAACCCAACTTATTGGGCTGTCCATACAATCTCTTAGTGGGCTGTCCGTACAAGCCCACATAAACCCCTCCAATCAAGCCCAAACTGTAAGGAGGAGTTTGTGCACGCCTAAGATAAGTTTTCAAGTGTTCTAGAAGCTCCTCACTTGCCTCCATAACCGTTTGAATTCAAAGAAGTGGAGGGAAGCAAGAGTCACATGTGTGACTTAAGAAAAGAGTTGTTATGTGCTGTCACTTTCAATCTTTGTCTTTGTGCACAAGTTGAATTTATGTGTAATGCCTATATAAGGGCGCCCTCTCTCATTGTAAAACATATAGAATTTATAATAAAAGAGACAAGTTCTTGTTAAATTTGTATACATCTCTCTTCTTTACTTATGCTTAATTAAATTAAAGCAATGTAGAGAGTGAGTTATATGCAGTTTAGGTCTGTCTTAATGGCAGACCATTTCTTGTCTAATTATACTTCAAACCACCTAAACTCTCTCTTTTGTTCAGTTAGACACTAAGTTAGTGAGCTAATCCTTCTTTAATGAGAACACAAACTCTCAGTGTTGTTGTTACTCAAATATGGATTCATGTCTCATGCTAGTGCAACTCTTCTTTACTTAGTTAGTCATTAGATTATTGAACCTTTCTTTGGTTATGACAACAAACTCTCTAGTTATGTTGCTTGTAATACTCAGATTGTGTATCATACTAATGCATTTTTTATTATGTTGAAGTGAGTTCATTTGGTTGGTTAATGAAGAATCAATCACAAGTTGATTGTGTTTCTTCTTATGTGAGACAAACCCTCACAAATTCCAACACGTGGTCCTTCAATGAGTGGATGCTTGTTACCCAGAAGTGGGAAGCCGCGATGGACGTTACGACACTAAAAGTCATTCCATTTTGGATACAAGTCAGAGGGATTCCGCCTCAATTCCTGAATCGGCTCACGGTGGAGTTTATTGCTGGGAAAATGGGCTATGTTGCTGATATAGATTTCAACGAAGAGGCTCATGCCGTGGAGTTTGTACGCATCAAGATAAATTGGCACATCGAAACGCCATTCCGCTTCCAACACAACTTTCAGTTTTCTCCTGGCGATAATACAATCCTTAAGTTTCGGTATGAAAGACTTCGTAACTTTTGCCTGAAGTGTGGTATGTTATCTCATGAAGCAAAGGAATGTCCTCTCTCTTACACCTCCGAGATGATCACGATGATCCCCGCGCTGATGACAATGACAGAGACAATAATATTGATGCGGACATTGCAGAGGATACTAAGCCAACGGTTTCTCATGCTCATACTCCTCTCGTCAACAATCAGGATCCCTTCCCCGAAGATACTCCACCTTTCAAAATCAAAGATGATACTGATATGATTTCTGAGACATGGCGATACCTGCAGGCAAAGCTTGACAAGGGAAAATTCAATGAAGGAGATTTCAGTACACTCTTAAAGGACTACATTGATCAAAAGGAAAACTCAGGTTTCAATTCCACCAAGCGCAACAAAGTCGAAGCCATGCTCCGTCAATTTGACAACGCTGAATCAAGATTTATTGCCCATTCCTACCATCGTGGATACACTGACGAATCTCTGCCTCCAATCCCTGGAATCACACCAACAGGCGCAACGGTTCATGATTGTGAATTCTCTGAGATGTCATCAGAGTTCGATGCCTTTATCCATCCCTCAACTATGAATCACACATCACCAAGTATCAAAAGGAAGTACGACGCTCTTGAATCCTATTCGGGATTCAATGACAGTTCCCTGAACCCCGCCACTTTAAGCAAGAGACAATGCAACATGCCGATTCACATTACCGCTGACCCCACTTACCGGACTGTGGTCAAAATAAAAGCCGAAGAGGATCAGGAGTCATCTAACATTCATCACGTTCAATCTCGGGGGGAATCTGTTCCCTCACGCCTCTGAAGAACAATATGAAGATATTGGCCTGGAATTGTCAGGGGCATCTTTCGCCAATGACAATAGACAGGTTAAAGGAACTATGTCGCAAAACTTCGCCGGATGTCTTATTCTTAGTAGAAACTATGAATCATTGTGACATAGTTAGGGATATGAGTGTTGTTTTAGGTTTCAATTCTACGTTCACAATCCCTCCTCTGGGTCGTAGTGGAGGATTAGCTTTATTTTGGAAGAATGATCTCTCTATTTTGCACTTGTATCATTCTAATCGTATGATTGATGTTTTTAGTTCAATGCAATGGTTTGAATTTCTAGTTGTCATGTGTTTATGGTGATCCGAATCATTCAAAAAGGCATGAACTGTGGGAAAGAATAGAGAGAATAAATCAAAATCGCAATGGTCCTTGGCTTTTGGTCGGGGATTTCAACGAGATCCTCTCTAACAATGAGAAACTCGGTGGCCCTAAACGAGATGAACGCACCTTTCAAGACTTCAAAAACATGTTCAGTTCCTGTAATTTCAGAGATATACGACATATCGGTAACAGATTTTCTTGGCGGGGAACAAGAAGACAACACAATGTAAAGTGTTGTTTAGATAGATCAATCGCTAACACAGAATGATTCGGATCACGAAGCTGAGTTTAAGGAGTTTTTGTGCTTCAGACCACAGACCTGTTCTCACTTCTATCGCCTTTGTTGATGAAACAATCAACAAACCCTTTCGTTTTGATAAAAGGTTATTACAACATCCAGATTTCAAAACACATATTCAAGAAGGATGGTGAAACTCTCATAATCCATCACCTTCTCTCTATCAATCTTCCTTCCTTGATAAGATCACTTTTATACGGTCTATCATGGCCAACTGTCGTCGAAAATATAAAACCAATTCCGCAAAACAAATTGACCACTTACAACTACAACTCGACTGCGCTCTAACTTCTAATACCCCAAATCCTGTTTACATTACTCAATTACGACAACAATTAGCCTTGGCATATCGCAATGAGGAAGTATATTGGCATCTAAAGAGCAGAAATTCTTGGATAAAGGATGGAGATCAAAATACAAAATTCTTCCAAACAGTAACAAAAGCCCGCTATATTAAGAACAGAATCCTTAGTATAAAGGATTCAAATGGCGTATCCCATCAGGGCGACCGTGATATTGGGATTCATGCCGAGCAATATTTCACATCTATGTATAAAAGCGAAGGTCAAATAATGAACCCGGTTATCTTTAAAGATTTAAATTCCCCTGTTACTCCGGCAATGAATCAGACTCTGACCTCGGACATCACTACACATGAAATTTATGCTGCCGTCTGTTCTATTGGAGCAGATAAGGCCCCAGGCCCTGATGGTCTCACTGCCCGATTCTTCCAGGAATGTTGGGACATAGTTGGCACTGACGTAATATATGAGGTGCAACTTTTCTTTCACTCCTCTCATATGAAAGAATCTTACAACCATACGAATATTTGCATGATTCCTAAAATCAAACATCCGTTAACTCTTTCGGATTATCGGTCGATTGCATTATGCAACGTTTTTTTATAAGATAATGGTTACCCGATT